ATCAAAAACAACCAAAATTTTGAGTAAAATTCAACTTTTTTACAAACGCTGTCATTTTGTCAATTTTTAATTTTTTTTTGATCGTAGGTCATTGTACGGACAATATCTTCAAGTACAGATATTTTTTAACTTGTAAAATATTTAATTTTATTCACAAATTTTACTGTGTATTCTTAAAATATGTATAAATACCTATACCCTTAAAATTTTAAATCAATTGTTACAGTGCATCACTAATATTTGGAGATTCATCTTAAAGCAATCGGACAAAAAAATTTGTTTTTTTTATAAATCAGGCACTGGATCGAAGCTTTTTTTTAACTAACAAAATGACGGCCTCAATAAATTGTTTTCCAGATGTTCGGAAAAAAAACAACAGTTAATTCCTAATCAAAATTAAATTAATTTAAATCTTCCGAGCGCTTTTCGAAGTACAGTGGTCACCAGTTGCTCTCAATCGTACCAGAGCGCCCGAGAACTCTTTGCTAATTATCGAATAGTTCGAAAAGTATTTGTCCGATTCACTTCAAATTTTCAGAGAATATTTCTAAGATATTATGCATTGAAACAATGCCAATAAAATCGCCAATTTTTTTGAAATTTCTGACTAACCTCAACCTTTTAGTTCAAAAAGGCTGTCATACTAGGTGTGCTTCTTAACCTTTCCCATAACTACAGAGGGACATATGTATGTATGTATAAAGACAAATGCTTAAATCAAATTTGGTTTGTTGAACTTTTACTGCTATTTAAAAACCATCTTAAATATGTTGACGGAATTATAATAATTTTTTTTTTCAAAACTTTAATGTTTGTGTTAATTTTTGTGTGAGCTGTTTAATAAACTTTGTGTCTTACACGAGTCACTTCATTGAAAATAACCAACGTTTTCTCAGTGGGTACATTTTTGCCAATAAATGAAAGCAGAAAGAAGGTGACGAGTACGTACTACAACTGCGGCGCCTATGTTCATACTTAAATGTACATACATTTATATGTATATTAATATATTTATTTGTATGCATGCTTGTAAAATAACGTTTGCCAAATGCATATGAACCGGTTTTTGGTCACCAGCTCTTATTACTATATTATTAATATATGGAAGTAAAGGCAAATATTTTTTTACCTATGCGCTTATGCTTAAATCCATATATGGATATCCAAAATAATAATAATAACAAACTTGTGAAGTGTGTATGCAGCGCGCATAAATTTGTAAGTCTTTCTCGGTGTCGCTCGGGTGTTGCCTACCAACGACGATTAAAGCACTCGTTTCATTTCGCTACAGATGTATGTACATATGTAAGTATGTTTTTTGTTTGGCATTGTGGAGTAGAGAGGTTCACCCTTAAAAAAACAAAAAAAAAAACAAAAAAACACAGAAAACACAAGTTACAAAGTCAAATTTTGCGACTGAAAATTGGCGAATGTAGCATTATGTCGCGCCACAGTGCATTTATTTGTTCAGTGTTTCAACGAGCACGATCCACTAGTTGGCTGATGTTGCGGCCGTCATTGTAATTACAATATAAAGTTGGCTCAGCGTAATAAAGTGAAATTGATACATGTCCTTTTGTAAACTTATTAATTAATTATAAAGTTACTCACTAGCGCCATCAAAAGTTATGTAATCATATGCACGAATGCCTTGCATTGTGGCGAGGATACGAACTTGAGAAAATATCACTGATATCAAACTTTTTTTGAATATAGCAAATTTTTAGCATTTCACTCACTTGCAAGTGCTGAAAGTGCTTGCTTCTCGTTGTATTGACTGTGAGCACTGGTGGGTGATTAATTGAAACGAAATAGGGATACCGGGAAATTTAACGCTTCGGGTCAAAAAGTTAGGATGTGGCACAAAGCACTCTCTAACTGACCTAGTAAGTAAGAATTCAGTATTGTATAACCCGCTCAATGGTTTCTTTTCGAAATTACAAGCCGACTGATAAATAAAAATCAAAGCAAATCAAATATCCAACTATTCGATCAATTAATGAAACCCGCAAAAATTACACGCTGAAATAATAGCAAATTCGCCTTAAAGCTCAATGTAAATAGTGAGTGCATACTAGCATGTCAAGGGGTGTATGTATGTACCACTCGCTGAAAGAAAAGTGGTAAATCTTTTGAAGTGTTGTATCTACACACATTTGCACGTATGTATGTATGTAGTATGTACTTAGCACCAACGTGGCAACGAAATATTATAAGTTGCAAACGCGAGTAGTTGGCCTGTGACGAAAGAAGATATCCACAGCTCAAACAACATACAACATACAACATACAACATCTTCTGGCAATAGCAATATGAAAATCCACACAATATTTATATATTTATGTAGATACACACATGTATGTCTATTTGTATATGTGTATAGACATATGTACAAAATCGACACAAATAAGAACAAAATATACAAATATACCGCACGAAGGCAGGCGAACAGTCTGCGGAGCAGCTGCAACAACGACGTCGGCAACGACTTTAACAGCGCTATGTCATTGCGGCAGCAACGCGTTCTCTAACCTAACCCAAAGCAAAACAACAATTTTAAGTTCAGTCGGTTAGTTGATTATTTTCGCTTCGCTTGATCGCATGTTTGTGTTGTGTGTACGAGTCGAGTACATTTTTGCTAATTTCACCTTGGCTCGCCTTGTCGACAACGAACAGTCGTGTCGTTCGGTCGGTCTCTTTGTTTGTCTGTCAATCGATTGAACAGAAGACTGTGCGACGGTCGAACTTTCGGCACAAGCATTTGTGTGTCTGTGCATGTACCTTCATACAAACATACATACTCATATAATTATGTACATATGTATTGTATTTAGTTTACTATAATTTGTGTATATCGCGATGTACATATATTGCAATTACTAAGTGCAAGATGGTGTGGCGAGTTGCGACGAGACGAAATGAGAAACGTCGCGACGACGCGTAACCAATTGAAAACCAAAGCAACAGCAGCAGCGGTATCCGAGTATCTTCTCTGCGTTCGTAACTGTCAGTGTTGGTCGCGCAGAGCGTTCATCGTGACGTGTATTTAATTATTTGATCGACGGTTGAAAAATTTGCAAAAAAAGAAACAACAAATATACACATTGACAAAATTCACAAAGAAACCATAGAGAAGAGTACAGAAAGAAAAAAATTTAGACATATAAAGTAAGTGATAAATAACGCATGCATAAAAGCGAAGTAGTGTAGAAATGAGATAAAAAATATTTATTTATACAAAGGTAAAAAAAATAAAAAAATAAAATGCTAAACACTTGTGCAAGTGCAAAGTAAACGCGAAATAAAAATGTAAATGTTGTGTAAAGCAGAGAAGTCTCGACAATTAACAGTGGCATAGCAGCAGTGCCAACTCACTCAAAAGAGCGACGCGCAAGAGAGAGGCAACAAGCTAGTGTGCCGCCGTGTCATTAAAAGGCTACCACAATAATTTAATACGCTTAATAAGAAAAGGTGAAACAACAACACGCCGTCTGACAAAAGCATAATAACAGCATAGGCCAGATGTGTGCTGCCCGTAACGAAAAGATACATATATATTTATGTATACGAAACATTCTAGCAAGTTCAAGTGATAGCAGCAGTCAAAGTGACAACAGCAATCGTAACGAAACGAAGATACCGGCGTGCGGACTGCAGCAAACCGAAAGTTATGTTACTAGCTCTCCTGCGCAACATTGAATATATGTATATTTCCGTTGGCAGCATCTTGTCTGTCTCCTCCGACCGGTTTCTATACGTTTTTTCTACATCCAGGAATAAGAGAAAATCGAACGGTGGAATAGAACGGTTAACGAAAAAATTGCAAGTGTAGTGTTTTGTGTGTGCGTGTGTGAATCGGCAACAACGAAAACCAAAGAAACCAAGGATGCCAAACGAGAGGTCGGTTGCTTACCATGGTGGCGAGTCAACTTTGTATTCCCCCAACAAATTAACGACAACAGTGTACGCTTAATACACTTCGTGTAATCACTAATTTATATATGTACACATATATGTATGTATAATAAAAAACTCGGTTGTTTAATAGGCGAGTACGTGCGGTCAAAATTTATCAAATTTCCTACAGCAGCTAAAAACTGCAATAAAAGAAAACCGAACGGCAAATCGAAACACAGAAAGTAGAAGAGAAAACAAAAGAAAAGCAAAAATATATAGTAATTCTCTTGGTGTGACTATTGAACTCTCGCATGCCGAGTGATTGTGCACTCGTTTGTTTACAATACAAACAAACAAACAACGTTTTAGTACAATTGTGATGTTGTTGGTGGTGTTGTCTACGGTGATTACGACCACGACCAGCTAAACGAGCAGCTGTTTCGTGCCGGTTGTTCGTTTGTTGTGTTTATACCGATCAGCTGATTTCTCTTTGCCTCGCGACCGACCTAACGACCAGATAACAGTCAGAATCAGCAGTGTCGTATCGCTAACCTACAGCTGCAGAGAGAGAGAGTGTAAAATTATTTGATTATTTGTATGTATACAAAATATTTGTGTGCGCGTGTGTATTTTTATTGGATTGTGCTGCATGTCGTCTAATTGTGCACATATGTTGCCCGCTGCTTCGGGTTTTGGTGGCGTTGTCGGTGGTGGACTAGTTGGCAGCAGCGGTGGCGGCGGCGGTGGCAGTAGCAGTAGTAGCGGTGCAGGCACATTCACATATATTACAAATACAACTGCGGCCACAGTGCAGCCCATGTTGACCGAAATGGTCGTAGTGGCGGCGGCAGCGGCTGAGCAACAGCTGCATCGCCATCGCTCAAATTCAAATTTGATAACAAGCGGAAAGCCACAAGCGTCGACGCCGCGCGGTAAACGTCGTTGCATGAGTGCTAATATCTCGGCACAACAAATAATGGGCCATACAACAACGACAACAACAGTAGCAGCGACAGCGGCGCCAATCACGAAACGTAATCGTAAACTGTTAACAACAGTGGCAGCAACAGCAACAGGAAAAACAACAGTTGAGAGAGTGAGTTCGAATTGTGACTTCCGTTTTGCGAAAGGGTTTTCATATTTAGTGTGTAGTGTATATGAAATTTGTTCTATTTTTATTTTATCATTTTTATTTTTGTGCGCAACTGTGTAATCGTAAAGTAGGCGACGAGCAGCATACATGTTTGACGCCAGTTCGGCAGCGTTTCGTGTTCCATTTTCAATCTCTGTATTCGGCTGTAACGAATTAGCGAGAGCAAGAGCAAGCGCAATAGTAGTAATGTAGTGGTTTCCTCTCATATTTAATCATTGCCTTGCACGTGCTCATGTTTTTTCCGGTACACTTTTGATTTTTGTTGTATTTGTCGACTTTTGAAGTTTTTGTTAGTGCTACATACTAGCGTGCATAGGTATGTACATACATATGTATGTATGTATATATAAATAAGTATATATTTCTTTGCTGAAATGTGGAGCAGTGCGAATGCCACAGACAGTTAATTTGAAAAATTGGATTAAATCGTTAAAGTCAGATTTGTGGTTGTGGGTCGTGTTTCTCACGCTGGGCGAGTGTTATTTACCACTCTTGTTTCGGCTTTTGGTCACCAATTATTAAAGGCGGAGAGATATTATTGTGGGTGTTTGTTTCTAGGCACTAGCCTGACTATGTACATATGTACATATGTATGTGTTATATATTATATATGTATTTTCAGCACAAAATGTTCAAAATAGACTTCGATATACTTCAATATTTATGTATATACAAATGTACCTACATAAATGTTTAGAGAAAGTGCATTTTTAATAAATTATAAATATTATAAGTAAAATCGATTACATTTGCTTGAAACTTGACGTAAATTTCAAAGATTTATCTGCATATTTTCCCTAAACTTATTTGTACGCACAACCTAATTTTTTATAAATTATTGTAAATTATTTTATATATTATTTAACAAAATAAATAAATAAAATATTTAAAAAAAAAGTTGCCAAACTGCCACCCTAAAATTCTGGCGCACTAGGCAATTGCCTAACATGCCTATGTGGGCAGGCCAGATCTGGTATGTACACAGGTCTACAAATAATGCATTAAAAGACAAAGACAATTGAATTAACATTTAAGTCCAATTTTTTATTTTGTAATACCGAAATTCTTAATTACAAGTAATTTTCAATTTTTTAAAATAAAAATTTTAATCCTAAATATTTGGATTAAAAAATAAAATATATTTTAATCCCAAATTAATAATTGCATACAAGAACTTGATTTGATGTTGATCGGTCAGTTTCTATGCCAGCTATATGCTATAAAGGTCCGATAATGGCCGTTCCGACAAATGAGCAACTTCTTGGGGAGAAAATTGCATGTGGGGAGAAATGTGCAAAATTTCAGATTGATATCTCAAAAACCTGAGAGACGAGTTCGCGTAATATACACAGACGGACATAGCTAAATCGACAAGGACTATCACGAGATGTGTATTTTATAGGGTCTCTGACTTCAAGTCTAACAAACTTCCTGGTACATAAGATATACCCTGTTCAGAATATAAAAATTTTAATTTCCTGTTCAGAATATAAAAATTTTCCATTAAATTTTCAATGGCTAATCCAAAAATTATTAACTAAAAATTAAATTTTTAATTTACAAACCAAAAATAAAACAAAATAAAAGTAATTGAAAAGGTAATAAATAAGCTTAATCAACCGATAGGGGCTATTTGTGGGATTAAAAAATATTAAATAATTTAATAATTTTAGTTTGACAATCGCAACCCTCTATGCACATACCTTCACTCATACATACATTTTAAAAGTTTATACCTTCATTATTCAACATTAAATATAATTAATTTATATATAATAATATTTAATTTTTGTCTGTTAAACACGAATATCGGCAACTTTAGAAATCGATAGTCCACTCACTGATATATTTACTTCCTAATATTTAATATCATCCAGCGCAATCTTTTAACGAAAAAAAATGTAAATAGAAAAATGGAAACGTGAAACGTTCCATAAAATGAGAATAAAGCGATAAAAACAAAACCTAAACACTGAACTGTTAAAAGAAAGAAACATCAAACATAACAGACAATATAAAAACAACAGAGCGCTCACTCACCAACTGTTCGCGCAAAACTCAAGTGCCTTCATATATACATACACACATGTATGTAATTGCTTTTTAATGCTATAAATAAATGCAAATGTTTGGTTGCCCTATTGGAATTTGAACAAGAGAGAGAGAACGTACAGACATTTCGCTCTCACTCTCTCCATGCAAATTGATACATTTGTTATCTGTGTGTGTGAGGAATGAAAATGAAAATTTGCGTGACGTGACGTCTCTCGACCTTGACTCATCGGCATGAACTGTTAAACTGTTGTGTTACAATTCGAAGCCAATGTGATCTGATACCAAACTTGACGTACAATCGTGTTGCCACACAGTTGGGGGATTTTACAACATTGAATACTTGATTAAGATTCATAAGCGTAAATACTTATGAAAATACGGTGATGTGCGAATAAAGTTTGCTGTTTGCTGATACTTTCTATCTGGTAACATTTTGTCACAATGTGAGTTTATTCGTTATCACTAACGTTGTACACCGATGTGGCAGCCGTTTGCCATTTTCTCAATTGACTTACACATACTTTTCCTATGTATTCGCACATAATCGAGCGTGGTGTTCGGGTGCTGCTGTGCACTCTTTTGCTAGCGACCATGCTGCTGCTCTGTGTCTATTCAGTTTCTTTTATTTAAGCTGCGGTGTTGCCGTTCCGTTTGGGATTATAGCGAAATGAAATTGACAGATGGTCGCTACATCTGGCATGGTGTAGTGGAGAAATATATGTACATATGTATGTATGACGGTGTATGTGCTATAAACTGATGACAGCATAATTGTTATCAACAGCATTTTTTCTGGTCGAATGTGGTGGCATTGTTTTTACTCATCGACTCATCGGGTTGGGCCGATTCGTTTTCGCTATAAGTGGTTGGCAATGCAGTTCAAATGCTGGGTACTTGTGCTTTATTTTTGCAACACTATTTTCTGTTTTGCATTTATGCAAGTAAAGTAAAAGTGAGCTAATCGGAAGTTTAGCCAAAAATATATATGTACATATGTATGTAAGCATATGAAATAAGAAAAATAATTATTTTCTTAAGAATTATAATTATACGTTTGCTATTCAAAAATTATGTTTTAATAATTTAAAATTGTATTTATTCTAAAAAAATTTATTATTAAAAAAACATCGAATTTCTATCAATCTATTTGTATGTATATCAAACTGAATAATAGGTATGTATGTATATACTTCTGTAAAAAATTTAAAATTCACTTATGTACAACAAGATATCTAAATATGTATCTGCACATCCACCTCATTTCACACGAACATCAACCATCTGTCATTTGCTGATTAAACTAGAGTTGCTCACTTAATATTTCTCAAACTCATTAAAATTTTGCCTGCTTACAATTAAATCCCAAGTTTCTGCTGTCCGAAGTGTTTGCAAAATTGAGATGAATTGTTTTTGCAATTTTTTGCAAACATAGCTAATAGCGGAACTCGAGAGCAGGAGCGAGCCAAAGAGAGAGACCTCAAACACCGTGCATTTGATTTATTTGTTCAGTTTTATTTCGAATTCTCTGTGGGCATAACAGTTTTATAGACATACATACGTAAATAAAGGTAGATGAGGCATGGATGTATGTATGTATGTATTTGTGTTGAACCTTTTTTTTTATGACAACCCAGCCGCACTGTGAACTATTCCTGCTGTGCGGTATTCATTTTGGCAGTATAATTATCGTGTTGTCATATTTCTTCGTTCCCAAATTAAAATTTGTTGGTTCCTATGAGCGGATTGCAATATGCGCACAAAGCATGAGTAAAATTGTGTGCTTGTGTAAATGCGTGCCGTTATAGATTTATCTCGTTCTAGCGTGAGCGTCGGAGAAGTAAAAGAGCGCCGTAGTAATTTTTTTCAAGTAGATAAAGTGTTCACTTCTCTGCCTTTGGGGTAAAATATCTCCCTTCTGGCGACTTTTATGTCACACATTGTAAGTGCGATTCCGTTGTTTACAATTAAATACTGAATTATTTCACTTCCGAGTGTCAATAGTAACTTGCAAGTAGATACATTTGATTGTCTAGTGTTCAGCGCAGAGTCGCGGGAATTGAAAGGGGCATAATGCCGAACGTGTAAAGGCAACACCTTTTCAGTCGCATATTTTCTCATATACATACACAGTGACAAATTCGTGAGCGCACAGCTCTCGGTATGCATGAAATTTTTCTTCCTTACTTTTACACACTATCATCATTGGATCGGTCAGTTGTGTGCGGAGTGAATGAAAAACGTCGTTGAGTGTAAATTAAAGTAATTTGCAATAAAAGTGACAATATGAAATAAACTAATTGAAAATTTAATGAAACAAATTTTAACGTATATTTTACAAGTGAAATTTCGTGTGTACATATATAAGTACTTAGAAAACATGTTAATTACAAAAAGAAATTCGAATTTTGAGAATAAATAAGATTTTGTAAAGAGGTGTGTGAAATGTGGAGAAAATATTTATTTCAGTTTTTTCGACAATGGCTGCCGACGACGATGAAACTTAGCAGCGTTGATGACAGAAATAGCAACAAAAAGCAATAGTGAACAAGACGACGTCGACGACGAAGACTTGGCAGCAACAACGATGACGAAGTGAAAAACGAGAAATAATCGAGTGACTGACAGCCGACTCGTTGCATTTGGAAGCGACTCGCGACAGAACTCGTTAAGACAAAGAGACGAAACGAGACGTGAAGAAAAACGAATCAGTGGCAAAGAATTTTTTTTCGCTCAAAGTCAGAAAAAGAAGTTTTTGTGGTCTGCAAATTATTCGGTGCTATTCATTTGATTTGAAATAATCTAAATAATTTTAAATAAATAAGTGTTATACAAAATATTAGAAAAATGCGATCAAACATTTTGCTGCGGTTAATACAAAATAAATCAGTGTGATTATTTTTGAATTTGTTTTTATTTTCACGAGGATTTGCCAAAAGCAGTTCTCAAGCGTGGTGAAAATCATAAAAATCACAAATTCGTGAAAGAAAATTTAAAACGTAACGCAAAGAGAACAACGAAAATGCGGCATTTAAAAAAGGTGACAAGAATACGAACCCACAAGGAGGTTGCAAATTAGTGTTGCTCGTTTTTCTGAATATGTAGTTAAAAGTGTATATGTAATTAGATTTGATAAATGAAAGTTTAGTAGTTAAAAGTAGATTTGCGTAGTAGTTGTGTATTTCAATGCGAAAAAAACTAGTTGGTGGGGGAAAAGTAGTGCGAAGCAGTTGACTATTTGGTTGGCTGGCTGACAAATTGACGAGTATTTGCCGACGGTAGCCATTTTTGTTTCTGCTCTGCTTTGACATTTTTACTATTTTTTTTACCTTCGTTTACTCGCACGTTCGTTCGTTGATTAAGAATTTATTCGTTGGTTATAAATTCGTTCATTCGCTTGTTGTTCGTTAAATCGTTAGTTTGTGATTTTTCGTGCGACTCGTTATTGCGTGAACGACGGCCTATGAATATATATTTATATCTGCGCCTAAAGTGTTGTTGTAATCCATACTCTGCCAGCTGCTGCTTCATCGGTCAGTCAGTGATAATCGATTACTATAATTTTGATATCGATATTGATAGGTTTCGTCTTGGCATATTAACACGCGCCTTAAGTTAAAACATTTATTTATTTGAAAAGCAAAAACTGAAAACAAATAACTACATAGATGTATGAAAACCAATTTTAACTGTGACAGTTAATGTTAAAGATGCAATTATATATACCGGGATTCTATGATGGTGTCAACAATAATGGGTATGACTTCAGCATTGTATGCAAATTGTGAGTGTTTAGTAAATACTCTGGAATTAGTGTATATGTTTACTTTTCTAATATATATATTATTAATTAACTTATTGTAGTGTTTAGTTCATCACATTCATATATTAATTTTTTAGATTGCGTAAGATGTAATAATGTTTCTGTATATAAAATGTATTAATTTGTATTTTCGTTTTGATCATTGCAGATGTCCGCCGGCGCTCAATTGCAGATGGCACCACAGACAACTTCGTCGATAAGCCATCATCATCAGACACAACAGCAGCACCATTTTACCGCAGCCCATCATAATCCGCCACAGCAGCAGCAACAACAAATTTTAACTCAACAGCAACAAATTACGCCAACACAGCAGCAATTACAACAGTTACAACAGCAACATATAACGCAATCGCAACAACAAGCGCAACCGTTGCATTCGTTGCCTAATCATCATCATCTTCATCAGCAACAGTCACAAATTCCCCAACAACATCCACCACACAATCAACAGTTGCCTCATCAGCAACAGTTGTTGCCTCAGACACATAGTACACTTGCGCCTCCGCTGCAGCAGCAGCCAGCTGCGCTGCAACATACGCATAGCGGCGGTCATAGTAGTAATCCGGATTCTAATATGAGCACAGGTTCATCACATAGCGAAAAAGATGTTGCCGATATGTTAGGTTCTGCAGGCATTCCCAATCAAATAGGTATATTGTCCAATAACGGAGCCCCAGGGGCTATGATGAATAGCAGTGGTATAGGCCAAGACGTAGCTGGTATGATGGGAGGTGGCGCAGGCGTTAGCAGCAATCAACAGCAGCAGCAGCAACAAGTGCAGCACAATAATATGGTTGGTCGTCTAGAAAAACCGTCACGTACACCAACAGAACGAAAACGTAAAAGGAAATTTCCCCATACTGAAGATAGTGGTGGTGGCGGTGGCGCTGGTAGTGGAACTGGCAGTGGAGGAAATGGAGGTAATAATGCTGGAAATGCAACAATTGTTGGCGCCCACAAGGCATCAAAATCTTCTAATATGATCGGAACTGGACAGACACTAAGCAAAACAAATTTATCATTGAATATAGGTACATCGGCAGATCGCTGCAACTTGGCTGGCGGAAAGAATGCAAGACTATTGCAACATGGCATGGATAGCAAGAAAATTAATGAATACTTCAATAAGCACAGTGTACCGAGCAGTGGTGCCACAAATAGTCCTATGCGTCAACACACGGGCGGCTCGAAGAGTCCATCGGCAGGTGTTGGTCAACAGCAACAAACACCGCAACAACAAGTACAGAACACTGGCAATGCAGGCGGTGGCACTAGTACAGGCGCATATGCAATGTATCCTCCTAGTCCTCAACAGCTGAATCCAGGCGGTGTACAAACACCTACATCCCAAGCACCACCCGAATTCCATTACCATAGTTCTGTGGCGGTGAATAACGCTGCAAAACAACAGCGTGTGGCACAACCGCAAACTTCCAATGCAATGGTTCCTCCTCAGTCGGCAATAGTCGGTGTGTTGGCCAACAACATGGGAGGTTTAGCTGCTGGCGTTGTCGGTGGACCACCTCCTCCTCCTATGGGTCCGGCGCCGCAACAACATATTCCCGCAACATCGGTAGTCACGTCGGCGCAACAAACGCTAACAAGTGGCGTAACCTCGCAGCAGCTAGCCGCTGTGCAGCTAAATTCACTGCAGCATGCCGGCATTATGCCGGGCGCAATGGGTGGCATGCAACCGCCATTGCAACCGGTACCGGCTAGCACCATAACAAAGGGCACGCAAACAGAACTCTCCTTTTTGGAGATAAAGGAGCGTGACTCGGAGATCGAATCGAGCAAGTCGAAGCTTGACGAGATGACAAGACTGTCCGATGAGCAAAAATGCCAGATAATTGCTCATCAGAAGCTGATCGACCAGCACAAGTCGCAGATAGCCAAGTGCATTGACGTGGTAAAGAAATTGCTTAAAGAGAAGAGCAGCATCGAAAAGAAGGAAGCGCGACAAAAGTGCATGCAAAATCGACTGCGTCTTGGTCAATTTGTGACGCAGCGCGTTGGTGCCACATTCCAGGAAAATTGGACAGATGGCTATGCTTTTCATGAGCTCACCCGACGGCAGGAGGAGATATCAGCCGAGCGCGAAGAAATCGACCGTCAAAAGAAACAGCTAATGAAAAAGCGGCCTGCGGAATCGGGACGAAAACGCAACGCCAATAGCAACAATAGCCAGCAACAGAATTCGAATTCAAATGATTCGACTAACATTGCTGGCTGTGATCGTTTGACGGGTGGTGGTGACAGTGGTATCGGCTCGACGGCTGGAGGTGGTGGTGCTGGTGGCGGCAGTGGTGGTCGCGGTCTTTCACGTTCCAATTCAACACAGGCCGGTCAAACGCAACTGCTGCACAATGGCGGTGGCAGCGGTGTGGGCGGCAGCAGTGGTGTCGGCGATCGCCTCTCCGATAGAGGTGGCGGCGGCAGCAGTGGTACAGGCCGCGGCGACAACAGCGGTGGCGGCGATGCAACGTTCCTTAAACCCGACCCCGTTTCAGGGGCATACACAGCGCAAGAATACTACGAGTACGATGAGATATTGAAGCTGCGGCAAAATGCGCTCAAGAAAGAAGATGCCGATTTACAGCTTGAAATGGAGAAGTTAGAGCGTGAGCGTAATCTGCATATACGCGAATTGAAGCGGATATTGAATGAAGATCAGGTAAGCAAGACATTTTGTATTTCTAATGCTTCGTAAACTTATGGAAATCACGCTTTGTTTTTAATTTTAATTATACCCTGAACACAAGTTTGTAACACTTAGAAGTGAACATCGGAGACCCTATAAAATGAATATATTGTATAAATGATCAGCGTGACGAGCTGGTGCGAGTTAGCCGTGTCCGTCTGTATATACGCGAACTAGTTGCTCCATTTATGATATATAGTTCTGAAGTTTTGCACATGCCTGTCATACAAACTGATCAATTAAAGTCAAGTTCTTGTATGGAAAACTTTTTTATTTCGCGAGATGTCTTCCCGAAATTTGGCATGGATTAGTGTCCAAGGCAACGCTACAATCTCCGTATAAATTGTTCAGATCAGACTACTCTAACAGATAGCTACCATACAAACCGTTTGATCAAACAAGTCCTATGAAAAACTTTTTTATTTGACAAGATATTCTTTGTATAAATTTGGCACGATTTATTGTCGAGGGCAGCGGTAAAATTTCCGAACAAATTGTTCAGATCGGACCACTATATATAGCACATATAGCTGCCATACAAACTGATCGATCACAATCAAATTACTTTTATTTGTGCAGGGTATTATAGGTTCGGTGCAACCGAAGTAAACGTTTTTTTCTTTCGTATTTTTAACAATTTTTGTCGAGTACATTTATATGAAAATTCATATTCTTTGTTTTAGTCGCGCTTCAACAACCATCCAGTGCTAAATAATCGGTATTTGCTGCTTATGCTGCTCGGCAAAGGCGGCTTCTCCGAAGTGCACAAAGCATTTGATTTGAAAGAGCAACGATATGTAGCGTGTAAAGTGCATCAACTAAATAAAGATTGGAAGGAAGATAAAAAGGCCAACTACATCAAGTAAGTGTGAAAGCAAAAATAAAACTTAATCACATATTTATTAAATATGTTTTGTCATATATTAGACACGCCTTGCGAGAATACAATATACACAAGGCCTTGGACCATCCACGTGTGGTCAAGCTGTACGATGTATTCGAGATAGACGCCAATTCGTTTTGCACAGTGCTCGAATATTGTGATGGTCATGATTTAGATTTCTATCTAAAACAACATAAAACTATACCCGAGCGTGAGGCGCGTTCGATTATTATGCAGGTATGTTTATGCGAAGTTTACCGTTACAAGCTTCTTCTTCTAATTTATACATTTTATTACCTTAGGTTGTTTCGGCTTTGAAATATTTGAATGAGATTAAACCGCCAGTTATACATTATGACCTGAAACCAGGCAACATTCTATTAACTGAGGGCAATGTGTGTGGTGAGATTAAGATCACCGATTTTGGTTTGTCTAAAGTGATGGATGATGAAAATTACAATCCAGACCATGGCATGGATTTGACATCCCAAGGCGCGGGAACCTATTGGTGAGTATGTGTGGGGCAACAGACACACACACACACACACATTAGTTTGTGAAGTGATTAACATAGTTATAGACAATTTCGGCAGGGAGAAGTAAACTAAATTATCGCTTAACAACTGCACACTTTTCTTAAATATTGATGCTTTAAGGTGATAATGTTTTATTACGTATATAAATTATAAATTAGTAATTGAATGAAAATCTGCAAAAAATCTATTAAGGGGTTAGATGTAGTCAGAGACATGCAAAAATTACAATTTTAAATATTTTTTTGGTGTCAGTAAATTATTTTAGTTTATTGAAGTAAACAAAAAAACATCAAAGGTTTGAATTGACTTGACAAAAATTTGAAAAACAACCTTATAATATTAAAAGTAGTGACTATGTGTTGAACCAGTTGTAATCTACCGAACGGTAGTTTTGAGAAAATCGCATTTGAAGTTCTACACTCAATTTACCTCAAGCTACTAGTAGTTGCTGCTAGCAACATACTCTCGAATGTTCGAGAGCGCCCTAAAACTCTTTACTAATTATCGTATAACTCAAGAAATATTTGTCGGATTTAGCTCAAATGTTCATAAGTATTTCGAAGATATTAAATTTAATATTTAAGTATAAAATCTATGTTTTCGAAAATTCTGACTACCCCTAACCCCTTAAATAAAAAAAAGTAGCAACTCAATACTAATTGTTCCAAAATTGTGCCTTCTACACAGGTATCTACCGCCCGAATGTTTTGTTGTTGGTAAGAATCCACCGAAAATCTCATCGAAAGTCGATGTTTGGAGTGTTGGTGTCATTTTCTACCAATGTCTCTATGGCAAAAAACCTTTCGGGCACAATCAGTCGCAGGCCACCATCCTTGAGGAGAACACAATTCTCAAAGCCACAGAGGTACAATTCTCTAATAAACCAACTGTCTCCAATGAAGCAAAGGTAAGTTGTTATTAACTAGCGCACACTTAAATATTATATTTGGAAATTGTGATTTATTATTGTTGGTTTTTGTTTTTTGTTTTTTTTCTTTAGAGTTTCATACGCGGTTGCTTAGCCTATCGCAAAGAGGATCGCATGGATGTGTTTGCATTAGCGCGACATGAGTACATACAGCCGCCAATTCCCAAGCATGTGCGTGGTCAATCGCAGTTAACGCAACAACAACAGCAGCAGCAACAACAGCAGCAACAGCAACAACAGCAGCAGCAACAGCAGTCGACCACATCACAAGCGAATTCCGCTGGGCAAACATCCTTTTCGGCGGGTATGTTCGGTAATTTGAATCAGTCGAGCTCATCCTAGCTGCAGACCAAACGCAACTCAAATTCCTAATTGCTGATGCTGATCGCGAGTAATAATAATAACAACAACAACAATAATAATAATCATAATAATAATAACAGCCACAACAACAACAACAATAGCAGTAATACCAACAACAACAGCAACAATTATTGCAGCAGCAAAAGCCGTAAATATCATTTTAACTACAACAATAGCAGCAACAAGAACAATACCAACAACAATTACAATAATAACCAAAATCATCACCATCCCACTACATACAACAATAGTAATTGCAATCAAAGTAATAACAGTATAAAAATGCTAACGTCTGGCGAGCTCATCGGGTCCATGGAGCCAACAGTCTTGGAGAATACGCAAATTTGCGTCTACACGCATAGGAAAAATGAAGCAAATAATACAACAACAATTGTACCAGAGCATTATAACAATAGCACCACCACCAACAACAATATAGCCACACAGCCACAGCGGCATATCAAGCGACGACGTCAATGCGTCGCAGCTGGCAGAGAACGAACCATGGCACAGCATGTCGGCGGTCGCTGTAACAGCAGCATTAGCGCAATTAGTCGTCAACTGAAAGTCGCAACGTCGCCCAACAGACTTCATCATCAGCATCAACACTGCCGCAAACAAGACTTGTAAAAACCAACAAGCAAACAACAAAATCAAAAACCAACAAAAAATCATGATGCTTGATGGCGGCGAGAATTGTGCGCGTTAACTGTTGCTGGCTGTAAACGCTCACTAATAAATAAATATTCAAATGCTTGTCTCGGTGATGGTGAAAAAAAAAATGTAATAAGTTCACACAATTTACGTGAAAGCATAAGTATCAAAATTATTAAAAAAAAAAACAATAAGAAAATGTGATAATATACTTGAATTTTGTCAAAAGCAAATGATAGAGCAGCAAATGTTAGAGCAGTAGTGTGGTTCGCTTGCTATACGCTTAAGTTTGCGACGCTAAAAACGGTAAATGGATTAGTTGAGAGTTTTCAATTGCTGAATGCATGAACATTTTTAGTAGATATATAATATAATTTTAACTCAAACTGTGCGCTCACCGAATTTAGCGTTGCTAATTTTGTGTAAGAAATTTTCAAAATTACAAGCGCATACACTTTTGCAGCAGTCGGTGTATGAAGCATATACGTTACGTTGGCTTGAAGACGGTTAGAGCAAAAAAAAAAAAAACGAAAAACAAAACGATCGATGAAATTTTTTTTTTTTTAAATAAAAACATTCGTCAATCAGTTTGAATGCTATCGGAAAAATGCATGTTTACTTGCGTTTAACTTACATTTTGTTGTGCTATTTTATATATAGAAATCATTATATAAAAGCCTTGAAATGCCTTTGAAATGCCAAACGGTTCGCATTTTTGTTTTAAAATAGCTTATTAAGTTTCCTTTGTTTTTCTTACAAATAAGTTGCAAAACATTGTACAGTAATATTAACTAAATGATTAAACAGTTCAAATTCAATTTTTTTCATTTGAGCTTTCGCGCGGTGTTGCGTTGGTGTGTTGTTCGCACGCGAATCCTTATCAATTTCTATGTAACTACTGGCGTTGTTTTTTTTTTTTTTTTTTACACGGAAATTGAGCTATTTTCATTTCCACTTTGACAATTTTCGAATTTCGAAAAGTTAAAAAATGATTTCATCTTCTCAGTTATATGACGTAAACGCGATTACGACACACCACGTCGCTGTAAGCACGCAGTAAATGCCAGAGTAAATAATGTGCACTGTAATTAAATAATAAATTTAAAAAAAAAAGTGCACGAAGCAAGCGAAGCGATGGAATCAAATCATAGAAATTCAAGTATAACAAAACGTATAGAAGAAGATATCAGTAGCATTTGCGGTAATGCCTAGGTTAAGCTATGGAATGCATGTGTTCCAAACAAAAATTGTATATTGTTGAGAAACGGTGCGAATACGTTGAGAGAGAAATGATGAAGTAAGCAGAGTTGAAAATTAAAATACACACAAAAACAAAAACAACAACAAGCATAAGCATAAAATATAAAAAAAAACAATAAAACGCGTCAGCAGCAGCAACAAAATAATATTAACAACAACAAGAAAAACATTTAGTGAAACCAACACGTAATCGCGCACGCAAACTTAGGATTATTTCTAATTAGCATTAACTCACACATACTACATTAAACATTATACATATATATATATATATATAAATATATATAAACATATAGAAATCTACATAAGCATAAGATGATTGTAATGAGATATATATATATATATAGACATATAGAAAAAGAGAGAATGTGAGAAAGTGGCGAAAAAAAAACAAAAATAAAAAACTAAAAGAAAAAACATAAAAGTATAAAGCGATAATTGCAAATATCGTAAAAGTGAGAACAGTAATGCAAGTAATTATAAGTTAAAATGTAGAATTTGTGAAAGCGTTGCGAAGCGCAAGAAAAACGAATGCTCTAGATATGATAAATATGATGGCTAATATAGCCAGTGCGGGGGTGTGGTTCGGTATGCGCGGTGCTCAGCGGGTAAGCTGAGCCGGTCGCAAGCCACATTTTATTATTATTATTATATTATTAATATTATTATTATTATTATTATTAATTAATTATTAACAATTAACTATTGATGAATAGAGCACAGCATAAAATACACAAAAACAAAAAGAAAATGTTTATGCTATGAAGGAAACACACAATAAATGAAAGGAATGCATAAGTGAAAAAATGAAGAATACATTTATAATAAAGCAAAATATTGATGGAAATTTTGAAAACAAAAATCAAAAACAAAACCTAAACCTAAACTCTTATTTAAAGTAAAACAAACAACAAGAATATTTATAGTTTTAGTTATTATTTTTATTATTATTAATATTATTATTATTATTACCACTAATAATAGTTTATTACAATAAACAAGTGAATAAAACAATGCAAATCAACCACAAAACAAGCAGACGTTAAAAAATATATAAGTATGCAAGTATGTATGTAATAAAGAAGCGTATAGCAGAAGTAAAAAAAAAAAACAAAAATTAAATAAAAATAAAATCTATAATAACATAAAATTATATCTATGTGTAATTAAAAGCGAAAAAAACCACAAAAAAACGTAAAAACAAGCAAGCGTACCAACACTGTGAACCATAACCACAACAACAACAACAACATCCGAACCATGTTAAGACGCCAAAGCATAAATCGGAACGCATAGGTACATTTTTAGGTATGTGCAAGAGTCTAGAATGGCAAAAGAAAGAGAAAGAAATGCGTTATTTGAGGGTTGAGCCGGGGGAGCAGTGCGTGCTAGGGCTAACGACTTTAGTTTGCATGTATTATTGGTTGTTGTTGTTTCCATGCAATTATTTTCTTTTTCGTGTACGCGATTTTCTTTCGACGCCAAAACGCAAACTGTGTAAAACAAAACCAGTTAATGGCGATGCGCAATTTCTCATTAATATGTATATATATATATATGTTTTTTTTTAATGTAAAAAACCGGTTTCGTATAGGACTTCTTTTTTATGTGTGTTTGTTGTTGTTGCATAGTATTCGGCCGCATTGTGTTGTGTTTCGGCGCAAAAGCGTTCAACATGTACTTCTCTCTTCCTGTCGGTTGGAAAGCTTAACTAACAAGGCGCTTTGTATATATGTACATATGTATATGTATTTGTATTAGCGAATTCTTAGCTTGACAACATGTTGCTTTGAATTATTTATTTGCTTTTGACTGATATATTCGTTTCCTTAAATGGTTAAGTTGGTGGTGGTTTTTGTTGGTGTAATTGGCGTTGTTGTTGAGATTGCGCATATTTACGCGTTGACTTGGTGAGTTTGTGTTAAATGTCTTTCGATTTGTAAGTTTTTTTTTTAGCTTAGCTAAGAATTCATTGTTTGACAAATACTAATTCGAGTCACTTTTTCTTGAGTTCTGTATTAATGATAACTATTTTTTTTTGTATTGTATAAACATTTTCCAATGCCAGCTTCTTTAATAATTTGTTGCAATATTTTTTTTAATCTAATTTTCTTTTGTTTTATAATTTGAAAAGTATAAGTAAAACATATGTTTCAATAGTTATATGAAATATTTTCCATTTTATTTTATTTATATATTTTTCAATATAAAAAAAAGTTTTTGACTAAAAAAATTTTTAATTTATGATATTTAAATGGTTTTTTTTTTAACTTTATTTAATATTTTGTCTAAATATATATATTTTTTAATATATTGTCTTAATAAACATATATTTTTTATAATTTTGTCTTAATATATTTTTTTTAAAATATTTTGTCTTAATATATTATTTTTAAAATATTTGGTCTTAATATATTTTTTTAATATTTTGTCTAACATTTTTTTTTTATATTTTCTTTTTTAATAATTTGTGTTCTACATTTTTTTAAATAATATTTTTTAAAGTAATTAATTTTATAATTGTTTTGAATAAATAATTTTTATTTTATTTTTAAATTTTTTGTAAATAGATTTTTGAAAACTTTTTTTAATATTCTTAATCGATACGTATTTTACAACTGTATTTTTTTAATCTAAATTAAATATTTATGAATTTTTTTATATTTATTAAATATTGCATATCCCATTATTTAAATTTTGATTATTTTTCCTAACCTTGAAAATATTTAAACTATTGTTTAAATTGATTTTTTTCGTAAATATTTATTACTAATTTTTTTAAGGCCCTTATTTATACTACTTTAAATTAAAATTTTCCACTTTTCCAAAAATTTGTAACTCTATTAGCATTTCTCATTCAAAACAACACAATAAACACCAACAAAAACAAATAGTTGTAGTTAAGCGCTTGTGTTGCAAAAAATAAGAAATAAAAAAATATTTATATATAAAAAAATTTCCACGCAACAGATATAAAGTTATTGAAAATATAATAAAAAGAAAATAATATTAACAAATGAATGTGGAAAATAAAACTGAAATCAAATATTTGTTGAGTATTTTACTATTATTATTATACTATATTAATTAATTCTTAAATCAAGTGAGTTGAATGTGGTGATGCAGATTGAAAGGATTGGATAAAATAAATTTAATTACAATAAAATATAAATATTAAACATTTAAATATAATAATATTATTACATTGAAATTTATAACTTAAAAAATAGTTATTATTAATTAATATTTAAATAAAAAAATATAGCATGTCGGATTAAATTAAAATAAACCTACGTATATACAATGAAAACAAGTAAATTTAATTTAAAATATATGGAAATACATATATGGAATCGATGAAAATGACAAAAAAAAAACAACAAAACATTGCAGCAACAAACTTCACACTCCAATCACAAACATACGCGCACACACAGGCACGCCTACAACAAATTTCAAAACAACCTTACGCATACACATACATTCATATATGTATATTTATATATACACATTCACATCAAATACATACACATTCATAGGATTTATGCTATTAATAAAAAAACTATATACATATACACATTAAAATTAATAATAATTACAATAAATTTACATTTTAGGCAACTGCGAATGTAATGTGTATGTATGAATGAAGCAAAGCAAGTTGGAAAACAAAAAATAAAAGCTAAATTAAATATGTATAAATATTTACATATATATATACATATATATACATGCCTGTAATGTTGGAAGTCATTTTGAAATTACATTTTAATATAGTAACGTTTAAAAAATTAGCAACAAAACGAGCAAAATGAAAATTATGTTATAAAGAGGAGAAGCAGAAAAATGCAAACAATAAATTTTAACTACTGCGAAATTATAAAATATTTAACCGCTAGAAAACAGTAATAAAAATTACAAACATACATAAAAGCATTAGCAGCAACAAAATTGAATAAATGTAGCAATTTACTTTTTTATTTAAACTAAAAAATGCCAAAAAATTCAAAAAATACTTTTATTTGTTTTTCCGTTTATTTCTGCGTTAGTTTGTTTGCTTTCGCCGAAGAGCTGTCACATTAAGTTCAAATCCAACGTCTGACTAAAATTATTCGACGCCTAAAAGTATGCAAAATTATGTTCATCATCTATTTTAATACACGGCTGTATCAGAGAACGTATATGAATATATATACGTTCTCTGGCTGTATTCTGTTATATTTTTGTTCAAAATTTGTTTCGTTCTGTTTTCAGTCTATGTTATTTGAAATAATT